TAGCTTTTCTTTGGGGAAAAGGGGATGGTCTTAGAATCGCAAATCAGGTAGTGCAATTTCAGGTAACAGCCCATAGTGTGTCCCACTAACGGGGTTTAAAGGACAAAAGTGGGAGTAGGGAGAAGACAGGATTGCAAAAGGCATTTACCAAGAATTAGGGTTGGTTAGAGATTACATTCCTATAGTTCATTGACTTTTAATCAAGCTAACCTTGGGTACGATGGAAAAAAAAAATTGTCTTTTCACAGTTCTGGGAGAAGTTTGTGCTGGTTGGAAACTGATTCTTGCCAGCCAATAAAAAGATTTTAAAAGTTAAAAGATGGGGTTTCAGGCACAAGGTGAAATTTGTTTAGTCTGCCTTGAGCATCCTTTTTCACACTTCAAATAATTTAGACTATAGTTATGAAAACAAAACACAGAAAGCTTAGCAGTGGTGGTGCCTCCCCCATTGAGCCACCACTCTCAATCATCACCCCCTTGTGCAGTCAACCCCCCAGTAGATCTAGTTGGCCTTATGCACCCAGCAGCACACAGTGAAGCACTACTGTGTGTCTTCTGAAGGCCAGGTCATGAAAAGTCTTGCCACTTCCACCTTGTCCTCTTGGGACACATCCCCTGAGCACGCCAGTCATGGTGCAAGAAATCCAACTGCTTTGAGACCACCATGCTGTGGAGAAGCCCAACCAAGTCCTGTGGAGGAGCTGTGTGGCCAGCCTCTGCTGCCCCAGCCAGGCCAGCTCAGGCACCAGGCTTGTAAGTGAAGGTTTCCTGCACATTGGAACTCCAGCAGGTGGCACATGGAGAAGAGAAGAACTTAGAGAAACAAAGTGATTTAGGGAAAGGTCTTGTAGCTGGTTGGTTGCAGAAGTTAACACTCAAGGCTGAGGCATGGTCTCTTTCCTCCAGAAACCCATCGTTGGTTAGGAAAATAGGATCACTGTTCTGTGTCTAAATCTAGATAAACTTTCTCCTCTGGCATAAAATATGTCACCCATCCTAAATAGCTGGACACACACTGTAGAATTTAAAGCCACGTTCTTTTATTTTATGGCTCATATAAAAATTAATCCTTGTTTTCACTCTAAGCCACAGATCATAAATAATTTACTTTCTATGGATTTACCTTTTCTGGACATTGAGCTAAATGGGGCATGCATCCAAAGTTCATTCCCTCTTATTGTTGAATAGTATTCCATTTTATGTGTGACACATTTTGTTCATCCATTTTCCAGTTACTGACATTTGACTTGTTTCTGTCTTTTCACCTTTGTGAACAGGTTGCTTCCTCTATGTTTTTAAAGTAGCAAAAATGCCTAAATATAGACAAATCACTTACAGAAGCTTTGGGTTTTTTTGAGGGCTGTCTATTAAAGTAAGAAAATACAGATATATGAAGAAGAAAATTCACCATTCAGAGATAACTACACTATTAATATTCTGCACAATTTTTTGCTAAACATATGTCTTTTTTTCCTTATAACACTAAACTGCACAAACTTTTGATAACCTATTTTAAAATGAATGTTGTCATCAGTAATCTACGTCAGTAATAGTTTGTTGAACTTATATACCACTGTTTGTTACCTGAGTCCAATTATGAGAAAATTTCTGTGATACCTAATTTGCTCATCATTATAACAAGACTGTTGCAATGCTTACAAAAGCTGTCTCCAAACCAAATTAGTAAAACTGTTTACTTCTGTTTTGTTTTAGCTCTTTTATAGTTTACTTTCAACTTTTTATTCCATTGTGGTGTTTGCTTACCTCAATGTCATCCTTGCATATCCACTTGAAAAGCCTTCTTTACTGCACAGCCCAGGTTCATATTGGTCAATCTTTTCTCAGGCTTCTATGCCATCAAGTGACATCAATGAGCAATCCCATCCTGTTTTACAGTTAACTGGTGCATTATGGTGGACAGCAGTGGTAGTCTTCTTTCTACATTTTTTTTTTATAAAGTAATTTTTTTTAAAGATTTATTTATTTATTTATACAAGCACTGGGTACAGTCAGAAGCGTGGGAGGGTGAGAGAATTCACCAGAGCCAGAGCAGGGTACAGAACAGGCAGACTGATGAAATACACTGCTGAGGGGAGCAGCGGGTGAGACAGGAGAGGTCTGCACGCCATGTGGGACCCTCACCAGCAAACCGGCGCTGCAGAGGCTTCGGGCAGCTTCACAGCCCAGTGCTCAACCACTGCGCCACCAGGGGAGGCCCTTTCTACATATTTTTTAAAGATTTATTTATTTATGCATATAAGAACTGGGGTACAGGCCAGAGGTGCGGGTGGTGAGGGGGTGAGAGGATTCACCAGAGACAGAGCGGGGAACAGAACAGGCAGATTGACTGAAATCCACTGCTGTGGGGAGCAGCCGGTGAGACAGGAGAGGTCTGCTGCACCATGTGGGTAGCTCCCTCGCTGGGGATCGAACTGGTGCTTCAGTGGCTGCCAATGGCTTAATAGCTCTGTCTTTAACCCCTGGGACACCAGGGAGGCCCCTTCTTTCTATATTTTTTGTTTCATACTGTCCAGCTCCAAAAACAAAATCCTAGGAAGTCTAATATTACTACTGGAAATTTTTTTGAGTTCATATATTTTAATAGCAGTCATTTTCTGAGTTTACTAAAAGAACATCTAATCTTGATGCCCTCTCTTCCTTCTTTCTCATCACCTTCCAGTCCCTAATCTGACCACCACATTCAATTCAGACCTGAGTTCTGAATGTATTCACCTATTTCTGTGATGAGGTAAGTCAGGGTGTTCCCAACGGTAGATGATCTTAAAACAGAGTAAACCTAAGCATCATTGTTATAAAATGCAGGAGGTATGGTCTTCGAATGCACAAAATTCAGGTGTGCAAAAAAAAAATTAACTTCTATTTTCCAGATCTGAACTTAATTTCTCTTTCAAGCTGATGTTTGTTAGTTAATTCATGGCAAACCCAGTTACTTCAGAGTGTTTTCCTCAATTTCTTTGGGATGAATTCAAGGGGTCACAGGTACTCTTTCCTTCTTAATTCTCCCAAAATAATCATTGCATTTCTAGGGTGTTTTCAGAGAATCCTGGCATTCAGTAGAGTGGGGAGGGCCTGAGAGGGTGTCTGACTCTTGGAGTTATTTCTCTTACACAGATACATGCAGGAATGTCTAGTCCTATGTGATCCTCAAGAATGGTTATCTTTCCACTCTAGCACCTTCTGAGGCATGCAAATCCTATCTCACAGACAGTTTATTCCATTTTGTGCTGAGGCATCCCTCCTGGGCACAGGAACTCTATTTTCCTTCTACACTAGTTAGAGAGGCCTCTGCTGAGCTCCATGTTTTATAGGGACCCCTCTGACCCTCCTCAGCCATTACCCTCCCCCATTCTAGAACACACACTGCATAATTCCTCAGCCTATATCAAGGGTTGGTATAAGCTACATTTCGAGTTCTCCACAAGGTAAATTGTATCTGGAGTACTTCTCCTGAGGCCTGAGGGTGGCCAAAGAACAGCTGTGTACAGGGGCATGAACGAAGTCTGACATGTGGGCAGGAGTTTCTATGCATGTGATGTGCCAGTGGTGGAGGGTGAAGGAGTTGGGCCAAAGGCCTGGAATGAGGACTGAGGACTGTCCATCACCTCCATGGACAAGTATGACATTTTTGAAGTTCATACTGACCTTCACAGTTGTTACAGAAGTATATTTGTCTGGCAAGAACATAGAACACATTTTTTTTTTTTTGACAGTGGCTAGTTTGGCTTACAACTGCTAAGTATTTAAGCATCAGTAGTAGGTGGGCCTCCATTTACTCGCTTGCCCCAGACCCTGTAAATAATCAGGATAAGCCTGACAGGAATCTGTTGCTCACCTCAGTGCCTTCCTGAGAGGGCATGAAAGTTTTGCCTCTTTTGTGACACTTCAGGGCCATAGGAGGACGTCACATCTTCTCTGCAGACCTCAGCTCTCCATCCACTTCCCTTTTTTACTCTGTGGAGTCCAGGGAACTCTGATGGCATCACCACCTCCCGGTTTCCAGAGTAAAGCAGGTCAGGGATCCTCTAGTCTCAGATTCCCCCAAATAACAGGTAGGTTTTTCATCCTACCTGGGGTATTTTATCCTGTGTCTCTTGAAATTAATGTGAGCTCGCTGACTCAGTAATTATCTTGAAATTTTTGAAGCAATAATCTGTTTTTAATTTAGAAAAGCATACAGCTGTACAGTGTACAGCTTCATGAATTATCACCAATAATTCTCCTTTTGCTGAGCATTTGGACAATTTTCAGTTTTTGACTGATAAGTGAAACCACCATGAATTTTATCTATCTTTTGTTGCACCTAGTATGATTTCTATTATTTATTATTTACAGGAGTGGGAGTTCTAGGTTAAAGGTTATCCATCTGTTTATCTTTAGTAGATTCTACCACTTTTTCTCTTTACACTCCTTCTAGAAAGGTAAGTTATTTTGTTTGCTTGATGATCTCGCCAATGCTAAATAGTATTAGCCTTTTAAATTGTAGCTCTTCTGGTAGACATCTCATCATGGGTTTTTCATTCCTAATATTTTATAATGAAAATTTTCAAGCATACAGAAAAGTTTAAAGAAATGTTTTAGTTAATACTGTGTGTTCACCTCTGCCTAAAATTTTCAAATACACATTTAACTTTAGCTTTAGATTCTGTTAAAAACATATAGAAAAAACTCTTAACATTAGAGTTTGTAAGAAAAACATAATCATTATTTATCTCCTACTTCCAAACAAAACAAGGATCTTAACCTTTCAACTTCTCTCTGAACTATATCCAGCAATCTTTTTTGTTTATAGATGTTAATCATACATGCATTATAAATATCCTCCAAAATATTTTTCTTGTTTTCACATTTGTCAAATTTTCTTACTTTTTTCTTAATTTACTTCTGCTTTTTGGCCCCCACTCCTTGATTTCACAAAGTAACTTCTCCTTCATAAAGTATATTTTATTCACTCACTGAGTATTTAAGGGCAATAACTTATAGACACTATTTTGTCCTCTTTATTAGTTTCCTGTTGCTGCTATATCAAATTATCACCAGATTATTGGTTTAAAACAACACAAACTTATTCTCTTACAGTTCTGGAGCAAGAAGTCAAGGTGTCAGAGGGCTGGTTCTTTCTTGAGGCTCTAGAGGGGGATGCATTTCCTTCCCTTTTCTAGCTTTTTTGAGGTTTGCCTGTACTCCTTAACGCACAACCCGTCTTGAATCCAATTTCTTGTTTCTGGTTGACATTTCTCCTACTTCCTCCTTTGATCTTCTTAACCTGTCACCACCAAATGCCAACAGAGATAGGAATTAACTCTTTGAGGTGTGCTTTCATCAGACACTCAAAACAGCTAGCAATCTGGGTCAGACACCCTGAGGAAACCACCTTAACATTTTGTTTCCCACTGACTTTTTATAGTGAGTTGAACAAAGTCAGTTCAGCACTAAGCAGGCCTTTGCTGCTTAGGAGCTTGTATCTCCAGCCCCTGGACCTCCTTATCACCCTCCTGGACACCTGGCCTCAGTGTGTCTCATTGTGCTGGGTCTGGTCCTCTGACAGCACTAGTTCCCACACTCTTCTAGATGTGTCCTTGGACTGGAAAATCAACTCAGGGCAGGCAGGCCATAAACAATATGCATGTGCAGATTTCCTACTATATCATGCATAGTGTCTTACCCGATCTCCTCCCTTTCCCTAGCCCCCAGATAATCAAAGATAATCTAGAGTCCACCCAGATAATCAAAGATAATCTCCACATTTCATGGTTCCAAATTTAATCATACTTGCAAGTTCCTCTTACTATATGAACTGTCACAGTTTTCAAGGATTAGAACTTGGAAATGTTTGAAGACTGTTACTCAGTCTGCCTTCAGTGCCCCCCCTCAATCCACAACCATTCCCACATAGAGAATACATTCACTCCACCCCAAAATTCCCCCAATTTCTCAACCTGTTACATCAACTCAAGTTCAAAATCTCATCTAAATATTATCAAGACAAAAAGTCGTAACCTAAATAAGGTATATGGGTGAGACCCTGGGTAGGATCCTTTCTGGGCAAAATTTCTCTCCATCTATGAATGTAGGAAACTCAAAAGCAAGTTATCTGCTCTCAAAATTCAATAGAACAAGAATAGGATAACAATTATAGACATTCGCATTCCAAAAGGGAGAAGAAAAAAAAAAAGAAAGGAATTGTTAGTCACAAACTATTTTGAAATCAAAAGTGTGCAATCTCCATTAGTTACGATGCCTGAAAAAAATCCTCTCTGGCTCTCAACTCTACCCTCTGGGGCCATGGTGCTGCGTTCTGATTACCCTTTTCTTTTTATTGAAAGAAAACACATGTTTGCAGCTGAAGGATTTTATCAGTCTGTTTACTACTTGTTGAATTTGGGGAATCCAACAGTCTGCTTTCATTTAGTCACTACTGTCCCTTCTGTCCCAGCTGATGGTGTTCTTAGTAATAGACCATTCCCCCCAAACCTTGTGGTTGTGTACCAATGTCATGTCATGTATGTCATGAGGATTCACCTTGCTAAATAAAGGCTCACTATGGGTGTTTATTGGCCCATCTAATCTTTATTCCTGGTTCTGCGGAGATGGCCAAGGAGACTGATGAATTATATGCTTAATCTCTCCAAAGAGTCCTCCACATGATTGAATATTCTGAATGACAAGCCTTTCCAAGTACTGGTAAAAAGTTACCCAGCCACTTTCCTGATGTTCTCTTCAGGGAACATTTTTCTTACAATGACTCTCTGAAATGTTTGCATGTTTTACAATCCAGACAGGCCAAAAATTTCCCAAATCATGAAGTACTCTTTCTTTTTCTGCTGAACAGTTCTTCCCTAAGTGTATCTCTTCCCTCTCATATTTTACTAAATGCAGCAATAAAACTGTACTGTCAATATTTTGTTTGATAATCACTTCAGCTAAATACCCAACTTCAACATGTACCACCCTTGCTTTCCATATAACTGTCAGACATAACTCACCTAAGTTGTTTTTTTTTTTTTCCCCCAAGATAATTAAAAATCTGTCTCCTTCTATAGGGGCAGGATGGCCACTGAGCAGGTTATTTATGATCCCGCAGACTGGTAAAGGAGAGTCTTGGAGCCCTCAGTGGCTTTCTCAGGCTTTTATTGAGTTTTACATGCATGGCAGCAACCAGGAACATGACAGGCACGCCTCCAAGCCCCCTGCAAGTCTTCACTCTGGGCTTCTCTGGCTTCTTTCACCCCTTCTCTCTCCTGCCTCTCCTCTTGCTTCTGCTTCTCTTGGTGACTAGGTTAATACTCCTCCCAGGGCCCAGAGAGGTAAATAAGACAGCTTGCAACAATGTAACAACTGCAGGTGCCCCATCAGGCAGGGCAATCCTAATGGTGGGAAGGCAGAAAAGCCTGAAAAACCATTTACCCTACACCCTCCCTCATTGAACTTACAGCTTCAATGTGTAGGCAGAAGTTTTTGATGTTAAGCATTAGAAAGCAACTACAAAATGTAAAAGATGAGATCAGAGTTTTTAATCTCAGGAAAATATTCAGTGATAACTTCTCATGTATATTTTTTTCATCTATTATACCCCTTTGACCCTCTATGCCTCCCTCCTTGCTTTTAAGCTCACTTCATGTTTTGATGTCTACTATCTTTTATAAATATGTTGCTTTGTCACATTATTACACAAATTCCTTTTTTTTTTTGGTCAGTGGCAACATCACATCTTTCCTTATACTGAATAATATCCCAATGTGTGGATACACACATCTTTTTAATCTAGTCCTCTATCAGTGGGCCTTTAGGTTGTTTCAAAGTCTTAGCTATTATAAATAACGCTACAATAAACACTGGAGTATATAATTTGAGTTGATAGTTTCTTGTTCCTTGAATAATAGGTGCCCGAAAGTGGCATTACTGGATCATATGATATTTCCATTTTCAGTTACTTCGTTTGGTAATTGTATTTTTTTTAACTTTTTTTTTCAAATTTATTTGTTTGTTTATACAAGCACTGGGTACAGTCAGAGGGGCGGGAGGGTGAGAGAATTCACCAGAGCCAGAGCAGAGAGTAGAATAGGCAGGGTGACGAAGTACACTGCTGAGGGGAGCAGTGGGCAGCAGGAGAGGTCTGCATGCCATGTGGGACCCTCGCCCGGTGGCCAGGAGCAGCCAGGGATAGAACCAGCACTGCAGAGGCTGCGGGCAACTTCACAACCCAGCGCTCAACCGCTGCACCACCGGGGAAGGCCCAATTGTGTTTTATTTTTAAGATAACATTGGTTTACAACACTGTATATAACTTAAGGGTATAGGTCCATATCTATTAAGATTTATGTTACCACCAAAGTACCCATAATCCTCTACCATAGTCCATTGGGCCCCATCCCCTTTGCTCCCCAGCACCCCCATTCTGGTAACCTCAACTCTGCTATCAGATTTCTAGGGTTTGTTTAATTTTGTCTGTTTCTCGGTTTTGTTTATTTTCAACATGCGTGATATGATCTGGTATATGTCTTTCTCCTTCTGACATATTTCACGGATCATAGGCTCTCTATTTCTATTTGTGTTGCCACAAATGGCAAAATTTCATCAATTTTATAACTGAGTAGTATTTGATTATATAAATATACCACATCTTCTTAATCAACTCTTCCATCATTGGGCACTTAGGTGGTTACCAGAACTTGGCTATTGTAAATAATGATGCAATGAACGTAGGAGAACATATATTCCTTCAAATCAGAGTTTTTGCATTCTTCAGATAGGAGTGGAAATACTGGATAAAATGGGCTGCATGAATCTACATTCCCACAAGTATGTGAGAGCCCCCATTACTCCACATAGTCACCAATACTTGTCTGATATCTATGATGTGGCCATTCTCAAGAGTGTGAGTTGGTATCTCAATGTGTCTTTGATTTGTATTTCCCTTCTTATAAGTGATGATGAGCATTTCTTCATGTGTCTGTAGGCCATTACTAGGCTTTACTTGAAGAAGTATCTATTTAAGATACAACCCATTTTTTGATTGGGTTGGTTTCTTTTTGCTAAATTATATAAGTTCTTCATACATTTTGGATATTAGGATCTTGTAGGTGTATGATATGCACAATTTTCTCCCATTCAGTAGGGTGTCTTTTTGTTTAAAACTACTGTTTGTCTTTAGTTTTCTGGTTCTATTTATTTCCTTATTCAACATTTCTTATAGGGGAGTTATTGTGTTCATAAACTCCTTCAGTTTTTGTTTGTCTGTGAAGGCCTTTATTTCTCCCTCATATCTGAAAGAGAATCTTACAAGATATAGCATTCTTGACTGGCAGTTTTTAAAATTTGTTAGTATTTTAAATACGTTGTTTCAATCTCTCCTTGCCCTTAATGTGCATGTTACAAGTCTGAATGGAGACCCTTCATAGGCAATCTCTTTTATTTCCCTCACTACTTTCAATACTCTTTCCTTGTCTTGAACTCTTGGTAGTCTCCTTAGTATGTTTTTGGTGTAGGCCTCATTACATTTACATAACAAGGTGTTCTTTCGAGGAATTGTATATTTAGTTCCTTCCCCAAGTTAAGAAGTTTTCCTCTATTATTTCTTTGAGTTAGCTCTTTTTCCCTCACGCTTTCCATTTTGGAATGCCCTTTATCCTTGTGTTGCCTTTCCTAATGGAGTCAGATAGTTCTTGAAATGCTTCTCTCTTTTTTTTTTTCCTTCGTATGTCATTTTTTCCTTGTATTCCCACCAGGCCCTGTGTGTATTACTATCTTCAAGGGCAAGATTCGGTACTCCACTTGGTCTGTTCTGCTTCCATAGCTTTCCCAGGAATTTTTATCTCATTTATTGAGTTTTTTACATCATAAATCCCTATTTTATGTAAAACTTCAATTTCTTCCCTCAGTTTATTAATTTTTTTCTGCACTCATTCATTTTTCCGAAATTATTTTATAACTTGGATTAGTTTTTCTGAGTTTTTTTGTATAAGTCTTTTGTCTCACTTTTCTGTGTTTTCTTCTATCTCTGATTTTCTTTTCTAAAGCAATTTGAACTCTCTATATGATGGAGAAATACACTCTTCCATGTTTGTGATTAGATTCTGGGGATTCCTCCCTTTTGACACTATGTTACCCTGAGATCTTAAGATGCCAATTATTATATTATTTTGTCTGTTCATTTTTCTGCTTTCAATTTCCCTATCTTTTAAAATATCTATAGCAGGAACTTAGAGAAATGAACTACTTTTACTTCTGTTATAGGTAGTACTGTGGTTTTATTTAATTTTATTATTATTTTTTTAACTTCACTGCTTTAATAGGCATTGAAACTTGCTTTTGTCGTTGATGAGTCAGCAGGGTGCAGGAGGGGTTTAGAGTGGTCCAGCCACTGGTGGGAATGTGCTGGGGGTGGGGAGAGATGTCTCATATTTGTGGCACTGCTGCAAATATCCCTCCTTTCTGGGTGCCAGATCTCAGACTCTGCAGTCTGCACACTGCCTTTGAACTTCATAAGATCAGTACCAGTGAAGAAGGTGAGTGCATCCCAGAGCACTGTGTCTGTTCTTACAGGGGACCCCCACCTGGGTGGAGCACCCTGCTTTCTCCAACTTTCCTTTCAGTCAAAGGTGTGTGCCATTGTACCCTTTTGCTCTCCCCTCCAGAAACCCTGGCTGAGCAAGTAGTCCTGCCATCTGTGTCCTCTGCCTTGGGCAAGGGGTTTCCTGCACCTACCTTCTCTTCAATGAAGCCTGACATTTATGTCTCCTCTGTGTAGTGTGTGCTGGTCTCTGATGTCCCAGGGCTATTCCAGTTTTGCCCCAAGCCACAGGATTCTCTGGGTATAATGTCCCTCCAGGTAACTGTTAGATGTTTCCCTTAGGAGAAAAGCAAGCAGGTAACTGTTAGATGTTTCCCTTAGGAGGAAAGCAAGTAACCTCATTTGTCACCATCTTGGTAAGGTCTCTCGTGCTCCTGCATTTCTGTACCCTGCTTCGAAACTTTTTTTTTTTTTTTAGTTTTGCAAGGTAAATCCAGATCACAATCAACAATGGCTATACCAGTTTACATTCCCACTAATAGTGGGATAGATTTCTTTTACTCCACATCCTCTCCAGCACTTGTTGGGGATCTTTTTCATATGTGTCATTCTCATGGATGTGAAATGATATCTCACTGTTGTTTTGACATGCATTTTCCTTGTTAAAAGTGATAGAAATTTTTCCATATATCTATTGACCTACTGGAATTCCTCCTTTGTGAATTCTCTGCTCAGATTTGTGACTCATTTTTTTTGTCTTTTTTAATTTATCTATGTATTTATTTATTTTACATCGTTCTTCCTTTTTGTACAATGCATGCTTTCTCCTTTCAGGAATAGTCCCTGCAAATTTCCCATCACCATTTCACCAATGCACCATCACCATAGTCCCTTGTGTAAGAACACATTCCCTCCCCTGTTTTGATCCCTATCTCTCCCCTGCCCCCCCCCGCAGTGTGTCTCTGATTAATTGTGTTTTTTAATTCATTATAATTTTTTCATTTTCCTGGACCCTTATTTGGTTTTCCTATATTCCTCCTATAAGTGAAATCATCCAATATTTTTCCTTTTCCTTCTGGCTTATTTCATTGTGCATAATCCCTTCCAGCTCCATCCATGTTGCTGCAAATGGCATGAGTTTATCTTTTTTTATTGCTGAGTAGTATTCTATTGTGTATATATGCCACATCTTCTTGATCCAGTCATCTATTTTCAGGCATTTGGGTTGTTTCTATATCTTGCCTATTGTAAATAGTGCTACAATAAGCATAGGGGTGCCAGGTACCCTTTTGAATTAATGTTTTTGTTTCCTTCGAGTAGATTCCTGGGAGTGGAATTGCTTGGTCATATGGAAGCTCCATTTTTAGTAGTTTGAGGAAACTCCATACAGCTTTCCATAGTGGTTGGACCAGTTTGCATTTTCCACCAGCAGTATAGGAGAATTGTTTCCTGTTTGTGACTCATTGATTAATTGAGTTGTTTGTTTTTCTATTATTGAATTGTATGAGTGTTGGCTTTGTTTTTGTCTCTTATCTTAGATATTAACCCCTGGTCAGTTATGTAATGTATGATTATTTTCTCTCATATAGTAGGATGTCTTTTAAACCTACTTATATTTTCTTTTGCTATGTAAAAACTTCTTTAGTTTGAGGTAATCCAAATTATTTATTTTTCTTTCATTTCCCTTACCATGGAAGTTGAGTCTCCAAAAACATTTTTATCACTGATCTCATGAAATATGTCACTGTTTTCTTCTATATATTTTATTGTTATAAGTCTTATATGCAAATCTTTAATCCAATTAAGATTTATTTTTGTGCACAAAGTTAGAGTGTGATCTAACTTCATCCTTTTACATGTGGCTATCCAGTTTTTCCAGCACCATTTACTAAGGAGAATCTCCTTTTCCCCACTATATAAATTAAGTATTGACATATATATATGGATTTATTTCTGAACCCTCAATTCTGTTCCATTAATCAAGTCTTTATTGTTATTCCAATGCCATATTTTTTTTTTTTAAGATTTATTTATTTGTACAAGCACTGGGGGACAGTCAGAAGCAGGGGAGGGTGAGAGAATTCAGCAGAGCCAGAGCGGAGAGCAGAATAGGCAGACTGATGAAATACACTGCTGAGGGAGCAGCGGGCAGCAGGAGAGGTCTGCGCACCATGTGGGACCCTTGCCTGGCTTGCGGGGATGGAACCGGCTCTGTAGAGGCTGCGGCCAGCTCCGCAACCCAGCGTTCAACCCACAGGGGAGGCCCAATGCCATATTGTTTTTAATAACTATTGTTCTATAGTTTTTTGAAAGTTCTAATTTTCTAACACTGTGACAAAGATTTCTTTTCCTGCAGTTTATAATAACATATTTTTCAGTTCCTCGCAAGCCCTTATGCATTTAATATTCACATTTCTATCAATATTCTATTAATAAAAATGTAAATATTTGCTAAGTGATATATACATTCTCTAAAATGATCCTCATTTCCTTTTCAACTACCATCAGAAGCATCTTTGATATCCATATTTCTATTTGGGACATCCTTTTCCCCCTAACAGAAGGACTTTTATCTCTGTACCTAAGATTTTCTCTTTTTCCCTTTATGTTCTGCTGCCCTTAAAAAAAATATGCTTGTGTATGGATTTATTTAAATTTATTATTTACAACACATATGCTTTTTCAATGTAATATTTGTACCATTTTTAGTTTTATAAAACTCCATGCCATTTTCATTTTTTACATTGCCTCCTCTAGTCCCCCTTCTTTCCTTTTAGAAGTCCAATTAGAAGCCTGTTGGATCTTATCACTCTACCTTCTTTTCTTTTAACTGCTTACTTTTTTTACATTTCTTTTATCTCTTTATAGCACATTGGCGGTAACTTCCTTAGACTTACCTTTCTTATTTTTTTCTAATTTTCTCTTCAGTTAGATTTTACATGCTACTTAAACGTAAACTGAGTTTCTAATTTTAATCATTACATACTTTGTATTTTTAGAAGTTATACCTTTTTTTCCCTCACATCTATCCCTTTTGGTAGTGTCTTCTATCTAATTCACAGTTTTTTTATTTAAAGAAAAATATTGTGCATACATTACTTCTGTTGCATGTGGCTGTACAATGCCTGTATTGGTAGATTTTTCTCTGCAGTTTGCTATGCAGGCTGAATTTCACTTATCATAATTTATTTCCTTGTGTACTTTATGGTTTTGGGATGTGACATCAAGTTCCTTGGAATTTTATCTTTGTGCGTTTCTTGAAAGCTAATTTATTCATATCTTAGGTCTGCCATAACAAATAGCCTCAAACTGGGTGACTTCAACAGCAGAAATTTATACTCTCACAGTTCAGGAGGCCAGGTGTCTGAAATCAGGGTATCAGCACAGCAATGCTCTCTGAGAAGGTTGAGAGAGAATCCTTCCTTGTGTGTTACAGCTTCTGAGAGCTCATAATGTTCCTTAGTTGGTGGGCAATGACTCCAATATTTCCCTCCATCTCTCCATATTTGTAAGGCTTTATTTCACACACGTGTGTTTCTCTGTGTTCTTTACTTCTCATAAGGATAAGGACACCAGTCATTGGATTTAAGGTCCACTCTAAATCCAGGGCTATTTGTCATGATATCCATTTATCATGGTATCAGTTATATCTGCAAAGATCCTGTTTCCAAATAAGGTCACATTCTAAAGTTCCAGATGAACATGGATTTTAAGGAGTCACTATTCAAACCACTAAACCTAAGACTAAAATATGTTAACGCAAAGAAAATTTACTCTTGGAACTAGAAGAAACTGCCAGCTTGGGCTATTTTAACCTAAAGTTTCTCTTCAGATTTTTTTTTTTTTTTTTACCTACAGAAAAACCTATGTGAAAATGGGCTGTTAGGAATTCTCAGTCAAACCATTTCCATACTCTGAGGAACCCACATGGCGCAGGAGACCTCTCCTGCCTTGCCCGCTGCTCCCCTCAGCAGTGTACTTCAGTCAATCTGCCTGTTCTGTTCCCTACTCTGTCTCTGCTGAATCTTCTCACCCTCCACATCTTTGGCCTATACCCCAGCTCTTGTATGCATAAATAAATAAATCTTTTAAAAAAATGTTTTATATCTTGATCTTTGTGGCATAGACCTCAGAATTGTATACTTTACTTTCAGTAATTATAATTAGTAGTAAGCGTTGTGCAGAAAACAAAATGGGCAAATACTACAAAATAATGGGAGGAGCATTTTCTCTTTAAACAGGGTGACAGGGAAAGACCTTTCTAGTGAGGTGCTTTAAATTGACAGTTATAGCTTGAAGTATCTCAGAACATGGAATAGGCAAAAGAAACCACAAATGCAAAGGCACCAAAGCAAGTGAGCCAGAACAGTGGATTCCCCGGTGGGAGGCCAGCGAGGCTGCGGTCAATCAGAGTCAGATCATACTGGACTTAGACATCATCATAAGTTCAGACTTGTTTAATGAGCCATGAATAACCATTGAAGAATTGTGATTAAGGAAGAATTAGGATTTATATATTTTTAAAAATCATCTAAACAAATTCCTACATCAATATAGTCTGCTAAGAGTAAACCAGGAAGAAACAGAAGAGTTGAATAAACTGATCACAAGCATGGAAACCGAAACAAATTTTAAAAACTTCCATAAAGCAAAACCCCAGGACCAGATGGTCTTAAAAATAAATTTTATCAAATTTTTAATCAAGAACTAGTATCCATCTTGCTAATATAAGATGAGGCAACATTCCCTAAAACATTTTACAATGCCACCATACTGAAACTAGATAATGACAACACAAGAAAAGAAAATTACAGACCTAAAGCCCTGATGAATATTGATCCAAATATCTTCATCAAAAAACTAGCAAATCAAATTCAATAGTATATCACAAGGATTATTTGCTACATGATCAAGTGGGATTTTTCAGTGATACAATATATAAATACATCAATGTAATAATCATAAAAACAAAGGTAAAATAAAAATCTTATGATAGTATCAACAGATGCAGCAAAAGCATTTGATAAGATTCAGCACCATTTATGATATAAAGTGTAAACAAGATGGGAATAGAGGGAAACTGCCTCAATATAATCAAGCAACAAACCAACAGCCAACATTATACTTGCTGATGAAAAACTGAAAGCTTTCCATTTAAGATTGGGAACAAGAAAAGCATGTCCATTGTCACCTCTTCTGTTTAACATAGTTTTAGAGGTTTTTGTCAGAGCTCTCAGACCAAAACGGGAAATAAAGTAAAACTATCATATTTATAGATAATATGATATTGATATGACATGTGGACAATCTCAAAGACTCCACCACAAAGTTAGTGGAAACAATAAATGAATACAACCAAGTGGTATATAGAAAAAAAAATTAATAAAAATAAATACATATGCATAATGCTATATTTGGTAGAACAATTTAAAGGCAAATCAGAAAAAAATAGAATAAAAAACCTAAAAAATCATTTAGTTTAAGGATTGGGAAAAGGCATGGAAAGAAGCAAGAGTTTAATTAGATTACTGTGGTTTTTTCTGAGTCCTAAAATAGTCACATCACACTAGTCAGCATGGTGGGACAATTTACATAAAGTACAATGGGAATGAATCCTTCAGGAATTGAAGGTTTGGTCTTGTCAAGCAATTGTTATTGAAAAATTTCAGGAGAAAAGCAGACAGGTACCACTTAAATTTTGGAGGTATTTTTACAAACTTGTTCATTCTCTGGGTTTGGGGGCTGAGAGAGGCGGTCTTCTAAAATGACTCCCAATACCTGGCCTACTGGTATTCAAGCCCTTGTGTAATTAGTCCTCTCCCCTGGGGTGTGGATTGGACTTAATTACTTCCTTCTAACAAGTAGAACATGGCAAAGTGATGGGCTATCACTTTTGAAAATAGGTGATAAAGGACAGTGATTTCCATCTTGCTGGCAATCTCTCTTGGCTCCTGTTATATACTTTCTCAGACAGAGGGCACTTGGCAAGGAAATGGGTGCAGCCTCAGGCCAACAGCCTGTAAGGAACAGATATCCTCATTCCAATGACCTGAAAGAAACTAGATCCTTCCAACAACCACAGAGTGAACGCTGAAGTGGGTCCTTGCCCAGTGGAGTTGTCAGATGAGATCCAGTCCCAAACCCACGCTTTGATGGCCCTGTGAAAGCCCATGAAACAGAGGACTCAGTTGAATTCTGCCTGTCCTAACAGTGGGATTATATGTTTATCTCATGCCATGAGATTTGGAAGTAGTTTGTCATGCAATAATAGATAATTTATACAGGAAGTGAGCAAAAAGAAACCAAGGATGATTTCCAAGTGATTTCTGGCTTGAACAAGTTGAGTATCTAGAGATGTCAAAACTCCAGTGAGAGAAATAGATTTCCAGGGTGAAAAGAGCAGATAAGCAGGCATTTTGTTTATTAGACAGCTGAGTGAGAAGTTGGCTAAGGCAAAGATATGGGAATCTGGAACCCTTTTTCTATCACATTAAATGTCCTGTATCCACCAATCAGAGCAGTGAAATCCCAAACTTGGGTTGGGCTCAAGAGGGAGGTAATTCGGGCCTTTCCTTTTGCTTCAACAGGCCTAAGAAAACAAGGTTCTCTGTTGGGTCAAGCCTAGATGTACTTTGTTCTACTTTGGTATTTGGGACCAAATCCCCAGCTGCTAATCGAGTGTGGCTTTGTTTGCTTTGCATCATTTTATCTGTGTTGCACATCTCCTTCTTCAGGAAGACAGGAGATGGAGAAGGCAGGACAGAACTCAGGAATTTCCTTCACTGGGTCATATACCAAAAAACTAAACCTCAGACCTAAACACCAAGACTTAGCTCTATTCTCAGTTCTTCTGGATGGGGCCCCCAATGTTGGCATTTGATACCCAGGATAATACTTTGTGACGCTGGAGTGTCCTCAGCACTGTAGGAGGTTCAGCATAGGGCAGTACTGGCTGGTCACTGTGACAACCCCAAAGTTCCTTCCTACAATTTTATGTGCTTCCTGGAAGAATGGTGCTCCTCCCTCCTTGTGAACCAACAGATTGTTGGTGCTGGCTTACCTGCCACCTCTGCTGCCCACACTTTGAGCTTACACCTGTCATTTCCTCCCAGCCTGTTTGGCAAGAGGGTCCACTCATGGAACTTTATAGGAACTCAGGGACATTGTTGTAACTAGAGTTCTTTGTTCTGTGGCCAGATGAAAGGAGAGCTAATAGAATACTGGCTGACAGGTCATGGTGAATAAGAAGGGAATGTGTCCTAAAGCTTCAGGACACATGGGTGACTATAGATGCCCTGGAAAAATAGTTGGAGAATTCTAGAATCTTGATTTGGTGATTGTGTCTGTCAAAGTTTCAGAAGAATCCATTCCTACACTGGGTCGTGAAAATAGTACTCCATCTCAAAGCTATGTCAGCAAGAAAATAACATTTGCACTTATGTATATAGTATAAGCGACATTTTACTGCACAAGTTATCTCAGCTTTTACTGGACAGCTATTGTGAGCCAAGCACTGTGCTCGTTTCTTTTAATGCATTATTTAAGTTAATGTCCACAAAATGCCTCCGTGGAGTGCATTATTAACATTCCTTATTTGCATGCACAGGAAATTAAAAAAGAAAAGTTGTGCAGCTTGTTCAGGCTCACTAAGCCAGTAAGCCACAGAGTCAGGTTTCAAACCCATACTTCGAAATTCATTCTGTAACGTCTTTAGGCTATATGGATCTGAAGTGACTTTATCCAACAGATATCCACCAAGTGCCCGGCCCTGCACTGGGCAAGAGGTCAGATGACCCTGCTTGACTGGATGTAAGGAGAGGTGCATGAGTGCACAGATAGACGGATAAAAATGATGAGGGAAAGACACAGAATAAAGGGCTCAGATGAAGAGTGGATGGAACAGGAGGGTAAGTGAATGAATGAGCGACTGAGGAAGAGCCGCAAGGGGAGGGCAGCGGGAAAGAAGTGAGGAGAAGAAGAGCTGAGAGAGGGAGAACTTTTGAGGCTGCGCTTCCCGGAGCCCTAGCGCCCGGCGGCTGGCGGGTGGGGGGCGGGCGCCTACTCCACACAGTACGGTAGGCGCGGGCTCGCGCCTCCCGGCTCCCACTTCCCCTCCCAGCGCCGCCGCCGCGGCTGCTGCCAGACGGCCGGCCGCCCGGACCCCAGTCCCCCGCGCTCGGACGGGGGAGGCGGCCGCTGCGTTCGCCCTGCCAGTGCCGCCGCCGGCCGCCGCTCTGCGCGCGGCGATGCGCAAAGGGGCCGCGCCACCCCGGGGCCGCCGCCGGCGCCGCGCCACAGCATGAAGCTCCGCAGCAAGGCGGCGGCGCTGCTCCTGCTCGCGCTGGCCGCGCTGCTGCTGGCGCTGCTGACCCTGCGCGCCGGCCGAGCGGAGCCCCCGGCGCCGCCAGCGCGCCCCGCGAGCGCCCCGCCGCGCCGCCCGGCACCGGCCCCCGCGCGCCGGCCCGGCCTCGGCGCCCTCCAGGGGGTGGCCGAGGTGCCGGGAGGCTTCGGCCACCGCATCTGCGCCCCCGAGCCGGTCGCCGGGGCGCGGCGAGCCTGGAGAAGTTGGCGAGGTGAGTCGTGGCAGCCCCAGAATCCCATGTGGGGACCCGTGTCTCGCCCCGTCCTCCGTGCTCAGCGTAAGGCAGGCTTGGGGGCGGAGGGTAGACTCCAACTTCACTCGCGGGCTGCCCGCTTGCATGGCTTACCTGGCGAGCAATGGAGAGCCACCCTCGTGGGGTGCCCCTAAAGCGCAGTGCTGATAAGCACGTACGTTTCTTTAAAGTCTGGAGGAAAGTGGTTTCTATGTGCCATTTTTTCAACTGTCACGGCAAGGCGTATTTTTGCTTCTTGCGGATATGCGCCATTTGTTTAATTTTTCAAAAACCCTCGCAATGCAAGAATGCTTTATCAACTTCTCATGTTTCATTGGCGAATTTAACCAAAAACTTGGATCTGATTATCTCGGAAAAGTTAGATGTTTATCAAGGACTGGCTGCCCCAGGCTCAACATCGAACCGCCAGAACAGAAGTGGCACTCGACCTAAGTTTATTAAAAAGTTTTCTACTTGGAAGTAGTGATACTGACACGGGAAGGACAGAGAGGGGGGTTCCCAGTTCCTTGTGCTAAGACTCAAGTGTGGTCAAAGGATCCTCTTCCTACTTGGAAAGCGTCTGGTTCTTGGACATAATGTTTGATATTTTCTTTCTCTACACAAAGCTTCACACGACTCGGCTTTTCATCAGAGCTTTTTATCTTTGGCTTTTAGGGTTGCTGGAGCGCCCGCAGGTTAGGGATTTGCCTTCATTTCCTTTGTTGTGGAGAGCTTCTTAACAATCCCGGTGTCTTGTATTGGGTTTGTTTCCGCCGCCTTTTCAAAGCCGTTCATGTTTCTAACTGCCACTGCAACGTCTGCCTCTGCTGGGCTCCTTAATTACTTAAAATGAATTGAAGAATTCTTTTTGCCCATAATGACTAAATCTGTTTTGGCGCTTTTACTGTAATGAAGAGGAAAAACGAAACCTCAACAATATACAGCTTGTGCCAGCTTTTGTTTTTCTTCTGCCTCATGACAAAAATACAGGTTGGTACTGAGAAGTTTTAGGTGGAACTGCCAATGAGCTATACAATTGCTTATAAGTGTCTAGAACCGTTTATGAACATCTTATGAATGTATGCATTCTTGAAAATGAGGCTCTTCTGTTTGGAATGTAATAGATTTTCCTATTCTTATAGAGTGAGTTTCTTATATTGGATTATATCGTGGTTCAACTATGTGCTTACTATGTCTTGTAAGACAGTAACACCGTTTAACCAGCTTACCTTTTGCCAGGCACAGTGCTGACAGCAGTACATAAAAATAATCATAAGTGGACACTTAATTTCTATGTTTTAACTGTATCATTCCCACCATAATCCCAAGACAAAGGTTCTTAAAGTGTGGCCTTTGAACCAACTGCTCTGCATCACCTGGGATCTTGTTAGGAATGCAGAATCTTGGGCCCTACCCGGCCCCACAAAATCAGAAACCATAGACATGAGGTCTGTAATCTGTGATTTAATAAACCCTCCCACTGTGTCTGAAGCACACAAAATTGGAGAGCCTGCTCTATGAAGAAGCACTAATTTGATATCCCAGATGAGGAAAGCACTGCCCAAGGTTTAGCTATTTGTCCAAGACTCATAGATAAAATGTGGTAAGAACTATAAAGATGCTGGCAGTCTGGGCCCTGGTTGGGTGCCTACCCGCTACGCTGATGTTATTCCATTTCCCTGCCTGCATTTCATAATTTTATTGAGCTTCTGCTAAAGTGACATCACAGATTTCTTTGAGCTGTCTCATTCTTCAAGGTGCTGGGAACACTGGGGCAGCATCCTCTTGTCTCTCTGAACAAATTGGCTGACTAGAAAGAGATCGGGAACAGAATCCAAATGGATGTTTTAAGGAAGGACTATTTCCATGAGTAGCAGTACCTCTTGAAGCCATTTTTCTTGTGAACATATCTCTTAGATTATCATGGAAATCATGTCCAACACCATGGGAATAAAGAACAAAATTTAAAAACTCAGGAAAGTGAAAAATAAATACCACAGCAAGTGTCAGGCTCAAATGCATAAACATGAAAGTCCAGTATCCTCTGGAGAAGTTAACATTTTCTGGACTTTTTAATATTTTTTTTTTTTTTTTTTTTTTTTTTTTTGCTACCTGGGCAGAAATGGCAACAGAAGATTCTGAAGCAGTCAGGAAGCAAGAGGGAAGATCTGTGCATGGACTCCTTTATTACTTTCCTAATCCTGCCTGGGTTAAATTTTTGTGGTCTAGGAGGAATTTCATTTTAGGGAGGGATAAGAAAGCCTTGTGTTTTCAAAAAAACAAATGCTTTAATCTCTTTACATGGCTAGAATCCAAAAGAGATGAAGGCTACATGATCTCATTTCTCAGGCCTGGGAGGGTCAAACTTGTGGTCGTAGCCAGCACAAGGAGGTAGTTGGACGTGACACAGGCCACCACCTGCTGACCATCATGGCCCGGTGCACTGCCTCACCGGGGTACTGCTGTAAGCAGAGTTCTGCCATGTCAGCTCTGCTAACAGCCCTCTCCTTCCACATCTTGTTTTCATTTTGGAGAAGTTTCCAGTGACTTGCCTAGTTAGCAGGCAGACCCTACAATTTTATAACTACTCATTTGTTTGCAATCTGTCCTGTAGTGACCTCCCTTCTACATAAATACCAAGCCAGGAGGTAAGGTCTGAGCTTTTTAGGTCAAGGGTGGGATCTGAAAAGGGATACCATACTGTCAGTGGCAGTTTCAGTGCAAAAGAGAAATGAAATCCCTTCTATTTTCATCTATTGGTGATTTATACCTGGCCGACTTCCAAAGAAAATTTGAGACACAGTAAAACACACATATACAATAAAGCCATTGAAATACTTTAAAAAATGAAAAAATAGAAAGAGGAGGGAGAAATAAGTACTGTTTGTCAAAAATTGAGGCCACTATTATTATAAAGATTGAATGTTAAATTTTGCTGTAAAATATACATTTGTGGAGGTGTGAACCTATATATCTGAAACATATTCCTTGTTGTAAATCATTGTTACCTCAGTAAACATAATTTTTTAGAAAAGATAAAAATAATAAATTTAGCTCTAAGCTTCCTGGCAGTCGTATTAAAAAGGAAGCCATAATGGGTTTGCTTCATTTTCATTGAGTGATAAGAGGAAAAGTTTTTCAAGAGAGATGCTTTGTTTGTCATGGAACTGAATCCTGAAGGGAGAATTTTATCTGCAAATAGCCTTTAGGCTTTAGAAAACTGTCCAACTTGCTTCTGAAAACTTCTCTTTGAGTTCACATATGGAAAAGGAAGTTTAATATAACTGCCAATCAGTGCATTATGAAAAAAGAATTTGGTATCTGAAGTCCAGAGAGTTGGGTTCTGGTCCCAAGACATTAATTTCACCTTAATTTCCTCATCTGTAACAGGAGTGAATTGATTTAGAAGTTTCCTAAGGTCTCTCCCAGCTCTGCATTTGGTGAACCTGTGATGAGATCATCAAGTTTGGTTGTAAAATCCCCGCAACGACTATTGCATAGCCCTTTGTGCTGTCTTTTGCAAAATCACTCTGTTCCTCTTTTATTGGCTGTAGCCTAGAACTCTTACTGATTACTCAGCTTTAACCCTCTCCTGAACTCTATTCTTCTTCTGTGTTGGCCTGTATATTGCTATTTTCTCTTAAAATATGGTTTCTAAGGGAGACTTAGGCTATCTCTAAGCCAAGTTGTGATCCTCTGCCATTTAATCCATAGTTACTCAGCAAATGCTCGTTGTGCATATTATCTGGGCCAGATGCTCACTGTGGAACAGTAAATAGTTGCTGCCCCAGAATTTTGGGGAGCAGGGGGTTCACAGTACAGAAAACATGTTATACCTGGCAGTCTCCTCAGCATATTGCTCATCATGAGACACCATTCCAGGCCTCCTTGGTGGGGCAAGGGGTTAAGCACAGCATTGTGACGCTATCTGCAGCCTCTGCAGCAGGAGTCCAATCCACAGGCAGCCAAGGAGCTACACACATGGCGCAGCAGACCTCTCCTGTCTTGCCCGCTGATCCCCTCAGCAGTGTATTTCAGTCTGCCTGTTCTGTTCCCCACTGTGTCTCTGGTGAATCCTCTCATACCCTGCACCTCAGGCCTGTACCCCAGTTCTTGTATGCATAAACAAATAAATCTTTAAAAAAAAAAAAAAAGACACCATTCCCTGCAGTTCCCTTCTCAGATCCTGAGAAGACGTCTTCTCAGAGGACTCAAACCTAAATAAAGGTCTACTTAAGAGCGATGATGTTCAATAACAACATTCTGAGTCTGAGGTTATTCTATAATTCACTGGTAGCCCCAGAGCACGCTAAAGGGCCCTAGATCTTGGGTATCAGCTGTGATATTTTGTTGCTGAGTCTTGTGGATTGCCTGAGTCCCCCAGCCCCCCTCTCTGTGTGCACATTCAGACTGACCTATTGGTTTTGACTCAAAACATATCCCCATTCCACCATTTCTTCTACTTCAGGGGTTACTCCTGAGCACCTCAGCTCCATCCTTGATATCTGAACCCGTGGTGGCCTCATATTTGGTTTCCATTCTAGTGTTCTCTATAGTCCATTTCCCACATAAGTGCTGGAATAATCTTAAATTTGTAGACTAGATTGGGTCACTTTGTTGGTGAAAACCCTCCACTGAGTGACTACCCATCACACCAAAAATCAAATACATCTCCTTAGTATGGCCCTCAAGCCCTTGCCTGATCCCAATGCATTTAGCTCTGGCCACCTTCCACCTCATTTGCTCCACTTTAGCCACACTCGCTCCTCAGATACCCTAAACTCCTCCCTACTTTAGCACCTTTTACTTCTTCCCTGTGCTGTAGTCTTGTTAGCATCCTTGTGTGGCTAGCGCCCTTATTCTCTCAGACCTGTGCTTTCAGGGTTTCTCCTCAGCCACCCTAGGAAAACAGAACCTCACATCATTTCTACTCCCTTTATCCTATTTAGCTTTAATACCAGTCATCATTTTGTGAAAAT